ATGGCAAGAAAGTTAGCCATGCACCCAGGGTGCAAATCAGAATCACAAAGAAAGGCTCTCCACAACTGCTATTTCTATGTGTGCCCTGGCACAGACCAGGGGACAGAACAGACAGCAAAATGTGGAGGCCCCCAGAACAGATAGCAAAATGTGCCACATGGGGTTGTGAGTCATCAGGCTGGTTCAACTGGGCGGTTCCAGTCAAAAATGATCTCATTCAAATCAAAAAAAGTACAAGGGAGGACAGCAGTCCATGCCGAAACTTTAAATGTAACCTACTCAAATTAGAGTTTACTGAAGAAGGAAAGAAAGCCCGAGGGTGGGAAGTAGGGAAAACATGGGGACTCAGGATCTATGAAACCGGTAAAGACCAAGGACTTTTGTTTACTGTTCAAAGGTCCCAAGACCCCATTAGTGTGGGACCCCCAGCTGGAGTAGGCCCGAACCCAGTGCTCAACCCCCGGGCAAAAATTCCCCCCATAATAACATCTCCCACCAGGTTTACACCCCCTGGTGGGACCCCAATGCGACCCCTGCCTGGTGTAAAATTAACCCCTACCTCGGCAGAGCCCGATCCCCTCTGGAGCCTAATGGTCAGCACCTACCGGGTACTGAACACTTCTAGGCCCAAACTTACGAAATCATGCTGGCTCTGCTTAGAGGTGAAACCCCCCTATTATAAAAAAATTACCCTATCAAGAAACTCCACTGTTAGCCTACAGGCTAGCGACTGCAGGTGGCACCAGGAGGGTCCCCAGCTCACCCTACAGTCTGTTATAGGGAAGGGAACCTGTGTTGGCCGAGCCCCAGAGCCGCACCAAAGCTGTGTACTCAAATCCTCAGCTGGAACAGCACCGGGTATCTCATACCCCCCGAAGACACCTGGTGGGCTTGTTCTACAGGGGTCGTGCCCTGCCTACATAAAACAGTGCTCAACTTGACGCGTGACTTCTGCATCGTAGTACAGCTCATCCCCAAAATAAAATATCATAGTCTAGAGGATATCTACCAGGCCTATGAGTTCCGCTCGCCAGCCAGATTTAAAAGAGAGCCAATCACCGCAATCATCCTGGCAGTGCTCATGAGACTCAATATTGCAGGAGCCCGGGCTGACATTTCTTCCATAGTTCTTCACGATAAGAACCATCATGCCTTGCATACTACAATAGATTTAAATATTAAAAAAATAGAGAAATCTATTTCCCACTTGCAAGAGTCCCTAACATCCCTCTCTGAAGTAGTGCTTCAGAACAGACAAAAATTAGATCTACTGATTCCTCCAGCAGGGCGGACTGTGCGCTGCCCTAGGTCAAAAATGCTGTTAACAACCAGTTAGGAGTTGTTAAACACTCCACGGAACTAGCTCAAGAGGGGCTCCAAAAACGAAATTAGAAAGAGAGCAATCCCAAAGCTACTATAAAAACCTCTTTTCTAGGCTCGGCGCCTATAGCTCAACCGGCCCCGCCAAACAACAATGATGGCTGCAACCAAAAAATAGCCGGGCGTTGTGGCGGGCGCCTGTGGTCCCAGCTGCTTGGGAGGCGGAGGCAGGAGACTCGCTTGAGCCCAGGAGTTGGAGGTTGCTGTGAGCTGTAATGCCACGGCACTCTGCCCAGGGGGACAGCTTGAGGCACTGTCTCAAAAAAAAAAAAAAAAAAAAAACCTCTTTTCTAAATCTCCTTGGCTGACAACCCTGCTATCCACCACAGCTGGCCCCCTCATTATCCTTTTGCTGTTACTGACCCTTGGCCCATGTATAATCAACAAACTACTAGCCTTTATTCAAGCAAGAATTAATACAGTCCAGCTCCTAGTCATGAGATCCCAGTACACCTCCTGAAACATAGAAGATGCCATAGAACTTACTAAGAGCCCATGATTAGGCTTCCCTACCCATTAGAACAGGGGAAAATGTGAGAACCAGACCAACGCCATCTTAGGGTGCCACCATTTTGTTATTTACTGCTTAAGCTATGTTCTTTGCCCCTCCAACCCCCCTCTCCGCTGGCAGCCCACAAAACCACATCCTGCGGCCTCCTGTACCCCTGGTGCAAGTAGCTTGGCTTGCAACCATTGCTCAAGCCACCTGCAAGCTGCCAAAGGACTCAGTTACCCCTAGGCCAATCAAGCCACATCAATTAGACCCCCCAGATACCCCACCAATCAGAGAGTGACAATACCCTACCCCCCCTTCTTGCCTTCTGTACCCCATAAAATCCCCCACCATCTTAGGGTCGGGGCCGCTCTATCTCCTACTGCGTCAAGTGTAGACGGCCCAGACCCGAGTCTGCAATAAAGTGCCTCTTGCTAGTTGCATCAGAATCGATCTCCGAGTGTTCTGTGAGGAAAATCCCAAATTCTGGGCACAACACCTTGTACTTTCTTATTCAAACCCTCGGAGAATAGGACTTCAGAAATGAAGGAGCCAACGCTAAGCAACAGATTGAATCTTTTAAAGTCTTTTGAAGTTCTGTAGAAAACTGGGAAGCTTAAATGTCTGAGACTCTCTCTGAACTCCACGAAAAGCACTACTGTGTCCTAAAGAACTCTGTATTCCACATATTAGAAGCCAGTTGTGGGCTCAACGCATCCCATTCTCTTGTTGCCAGAATTCCACCAACATGGCAGCACAGGGCTAGCAAGTTTTCTTCAATGATATAATTTAGAATCATCATGTATATGGTTTATATAATTTCCTTACAAATACAAATGTAGTATTTGTGACAAATGCTATACAGTATTAGTATTAGTACCATAAGTCAGAATTACCTGACATAGCAAATAAAAAAATCCTTGATCCCTTATATTATTTCTATCAATTTCCCTATTTCATTTTTTCTCTACTCTAGACTGACAGCTTCACATCTGCATGCTCTTCATTCCATAGGATGTCATAGCGTGTCCATTTCTGCCTTCTGATGCTATCTGGGATGCCTTTCTTGCATTTCACCTTCAAAACCGATCTTGAAACTCTTCTACCAGAAAGCCTTAAAAAGATGGAATCATCTGCCTGCTACTCACTGCATATTTAATTACCCAACCTTGTAACACTGCATAGGAGTTTACACCTGTCCATATAATTTCTATGAAAGTTAAGGTACCACTCTTGTGACAGGTGTACCAGATTGAAGACCAGGGCTCAATTCCTGACTTGCTCACTTAATACCCCTAATTCTAGAGATAATAGCTATACCTCACAGAGGTTGTTGATTGATAGCTAAAGAGATTGCACATCAAAGCATAATATAAAGGAGGTTTGCATTTATTCCCTGTGATGTTTAAGATAAGGTTCTGGTATGATTTAGATGTTTATTAAATATTAATGACCCACTCTCTCTCTCTGTTTTTTTTTTTTAAGGATACAATCTCACATTGATTTGTTTTCCAAAGAAGAAAGAATCTGGGCTATTATAGTATCTACCAGCTTTCCCCAAATACTGTTTTTAGGTAGTCAGGTTTAGGTGCTTGGTTATATTCAATTTAACAAGGTGTGACAGAGGCAGTGCTAAGTGTTCAGCAAACCCCATTGCCTATCCTACTAGGTACACACATTACTTCCCAGCCATCCTGCAGTTAGGTGGGGCCGTGTGACCTCGCACATGCATTGTCTGAGGGAATGTGGTGAGAATGATGCATGCCACTTCCAGGACTGGCCTCTACTAACGCTGACAAGTCAGCCACAGCTCTTCACTCTTACCCAAGGCTTACCAATTGCACTATTCCAATGCCCCAAGGGATGACAGAGCCACCAGATGCAAGGAACCTGGTCCTTCCATGAATGCAAGGAGGAGATAGTCGTTTATTTTTTAAGTCTATCAAATAAATCTTAAAAATTGTTGTGATGATGAAACAATGAATGTGAATGTGATTTGTGGGTTATTAACAGCCTCTAACAGTAATTTTTTTTTTATTTGTTCTGAAGGCCCTTCTCATCTTTTCCAGACAAATCCATCCTAATGCTTCAAGGCAACACTGTCCAACAGAAATATATGCCAGCCACCTTGTAATTTAAAAATGATTAGTAGCTACATTAAATAGTTAAAGAAGATGAAGTTTTTTGTTTTTTGTTGTTTTTT